AAAACAAACCTACCGTACCCCCAGACAAACCAGGCATAGTCCCCCGAATAAACCGGACAGACCCCCCAAAAAGCCTGACATACAACCCCCAACAACAAACCTGACATACCCCCAAACAAACCTGACATCCCCAGCAACAAAATCCGCTTTGGAAGACAATCAGGACCGCAAAATGACCCTTTTTTTTGTAAAAAAAAAAAAAACTGGATCACACAATGAATGACAAAACTCTTTTGCACTAACATTACGACAAACAAGAAGCAGCAAACAGAAACCAAAAAAACGCACTAATTCTATGGAGTGGTACGCTGCAGTCACACCCATGCCCATGACTGCATCAAGGTCATGGCAGTTTGTGAAAGCCTCCGTGCACGACCAGCCCAGCCTCTCTTTACCAATTCCACCAGATGCCAGAGGAGATGGCTCGAAAGTTTAAACCCTAAACCCTAAACCCTAAACCATAGAATCTACTCGATCACAAAAAAAAAAAGAAAAAAAAAAAAAGAATCTACTCAATCAACAACGTACAAAAAAAAAGGTCTAAGAAAAAAGAGGTCTATTTCTCTGAGTCAAGTAAATAATAACCGGCAAAACAGATGAACAGAGCAACCAAGATAATCTTCCGCACCTTGCCGAGGATCAAGCTCCATCGAGAAAAAACAGCAGCTGTCTGGGACTCTGCCACCATTGACGGAACTTTTTTCCCAGCCTCAGCGGCAGCTCCTGCCCAACAGAAAGGAGCGGTAAAGAAGAGGAGTCAGAAACTACAAAAAAAGTTAAAAAAAATTAAGAAAATTAAAAAAAAAACATGCGGCTGGCTGAATGGTACACAGTACTACACACATGTAGCTGTCAACGAACAGATCATGAGCTCGAATCCTGATGGATCAGAAGGAAATAGCGCCAGCGGGTAGTAGGGCACCCCTTCAAAAAAAAAAAAAAAAAAAAGACGAAGTTAAGATTCTTAAGAACACAAAAAACTCGCGAGTCCATCAAGCCTATTACCAGTCTGGGTGACTCCTTTTCTTTTTTCTGCCATTCGTTTCACATTCCAAAACCTAAAACGTTCCAGAAATTTCCAGTTTCACAGAGCTGCATTCCACGAGGTGGAAGACGAGGAGCACCCGCTATAGAGGAGGAGGAGGAGGAGGAGGAGGAGGAGGAAGACGATGACAAAGAAGGGGAAGACGACGACAAAGAAGAGGAAGATGGCGACAAAGAAGAGGAAGATGGTGACAAAGACGAGGAAGACGATGACGATGACAACACCGAAGAAGAAGACGGCAACCCAGAAGAGGAAGGCGACGACAAAGAAGAGGAAGACGATGACGATGACGATGACGATGACGATGAAGATGACGACAAAGAAGAAGAAGAAGAAGAAGAAGAAGAAGAAGAAGGACTTATGTTCAGTGGAATGCAATGGTCCATGACATCTCACAAAACCATGCACTCTTGCACCATCCCTCTTGATCGCTGATGAGCCGAAGGCACTTCCCTGAAAGCATTTGCACACTCTTTCTCTAAGATTCACTGAAGCTGGCACTTTCTGTTATAGGCACAAAAAAAGAAAGGATGAGGAGCTTCTCATGGGGAGGCGAAGACAAAGGACTATTTCTCTTCCTCTCTGAATGCTGAGGTGACCAACAGGGACAGAAAGAAGCAAAACTGCAACTGACTCTTGATGATTTATATTCAGTGTTATTCACCCTGATGCACAACAGCGAATCCTGCTAGCTCGGCAGGATGTGAACAATGCCTTAGCAAAGAGCACACCAAATGAACCCTGCCCATGACTCTGCCTCACAAATAGTATCGCATGTGCAACATTGTAAAACTTTATTTTTCCCAACAGTTGCTCACAAACGGTGTCGCATGTGCAAGGTGGCTATATACTTAATTCAGCACTCACTTGTCCTTGTTTGCTAACAGTCAATCACAAAGCATTCCATTGAAGGGGCACAGTGTCGTCAGTGACATGTCAGCCTCGTCAGCTTTAATCCCAAATCACAGTCTGACTCAGAAGCTGTCAAGTGGAGTGGAATCAGATTTGGTGTTTAGCAACATAGACTAAGAAACCCTTGGATGAAGGACACATGGCACACCTGATTCGGCAAACATCAGATCACAAACCGAATTCACACCGAATGCACACTCATCATGAGAAAACAACCTCCAAGCTATAACCTTCAGAAGGTTTTCAGGAGGCTACCAAGGACTCCTCTTCCTCTCTGCTCCCCCTCCTCCCTCCTCCTCCTCTTCCTCTATGCCCCCCTTCCCTCTGCCTCCTCTCCCTCTGTGCCCCTCCTCCCTCCTCCTCTCCCTCTATGTCCCTCCTCCTCCTCCTCTCCCTCTCTGCCCCTCTTCCTTACTCCTCTCCCTCTATGCCTCTCCTCCCTCCTCCTCTCCCTCAATGCCCTCTCCTCCTTCCTCCTCTTCCCTTGCTGCAAGCTTGGCTGAGTCATGTTTAACTGGTACTTAGTACTTACCCTTTCCCATTAACAACCTGCGTCTCCTCCTCTCCCTCTATGCC